AAAATATTTCAAAGAAAAGGTATTCCCTCTGTCGATCTGGCTAAATGTGTTTATGTGCGACGATAACCCTCCTGACAGACCAAAAAAGTTCAACAAAATATTCCATTGTGGTATTCACGTTTTGCAAAGGTTTCGATTTTATGCGCAGACCTAAATTAACAGCGTGATTTTAGTCGTTGAAAAATATCATGCTATTTATTTCGCCACCACTGTTTGTGTTGTCATTTCGCTGAATGTGAATGGCGTTTCACGATGTTAATGATTTTGAGATATGAATCGGGTTATTAATTTAAAATATTTTGCGGTTTGTTGGTTTTTGATTGTTCGCACTTGTGAAACGACGTAATTAAATTCAAATAAATTCTAGCATAAAATATGTGATAAATATGGGATTAATTTTTCTAATACAAATTATAAATGTTAATGGAATTCCGAGGTAATGGAATTGTAGGTGGAGTATTTATTTTTAAATTTAATAAAAATATGATAGATAATTAGACTGGAACAGGCATTTGTTCTACATGACTCCTTTATTTTATTGTCTTATTGCTCGGGTCCTCTAACCCTTTCATATCATAACTATTTTATTTTTCTCATTTTACTTTGTTCCGAACATTTGATGTCTGTTTCTTTATTTCTTATATTTTTTATTCCTTCTATTCCTATTCCTTCAAATATTCCTCATCTCTTCTATTAAGCTATCAACGATGGCAACCACTCATTTCTCTCTTTTCTTTATTAGGCCAATTATTTTTTTTTTTGTTGTTATCGACATTTGTTTTTCGTTCGTTTATTCCGATTGTTTATGTATTTATGTGTGTTGTATTGTTGTGGTTGGTACTCAACATACAGACGCAACAACAACATCAAGAATAATAATTGTTGAATAGCAAAATTAAAAAGAACGAACCGAACCGAACCATGCGGCCATTGCAGTCCCCATGTTCATCATCGGCCTTTTGTTTTCTTTGCGCCTGTTAGCTGACATTCGCATTGTACAACAAAAATGCTTAGCATTTCAATGCTGACTGGCCTGGCTGGCTTGTTGTGTTGTTTCTCGTTTCTTTCCAATTTATTTGACCAACCAAAACAAAACAACAACACCTCTAAGAATGAGATAGGAATAAGAACACAAACAACAAGAACAATGTCGAGTAGAAACAAACCAACTGTTATTTCTTTGGCACAGTGGGATGAAAGTGAAAATTTAATGTGCATGTCGATCTAATTCTGAATATTCGCCAGGCTAGGATGAAAAAAAATTTGATATGAAATGGAGAGAAATAATTTGTGATTTTGACAATTCTATGGTACAACAAGGAGGTAGAAAAGCTCAGTAAAACGATTTAAATACACCCCCAAGGCTATGCTTGCTTTCTGCCGGAATTATTCAAAATAAAATGTAACAAGTTGTATTAATCTATTTTTCTATTTTTGTCTCATTTTTAAATTAAATAAAAAAACCAAAAGGTGAATGAAATTCTTGGATCTTCTTTCGAAAATATGGACCGTTAAATTTTTCAATTCCATTCAATTATTTTTGTACCCTCCACCATAGTATGGAAGGTATATTAAGTTTGTCATTCCGTTTCTTACACCATGAAATATACATTTTAGACCAAAAGCGAACGAAGTGAAGTAAGTTGATAAAAAGTTAGTCAGATGTGTGTATGTTCTGCTGAACTTTTGATATTGAAAATGGGCTATAAAGGTCTACATTTTGGTAGAGCCCCATATAAATATACACACAGTTTTAGATTTTTTTTTGGCTGCTTCAGTCACAATTTTAAACAAAATTTGCTGTAAATTGGCAAGATACATCTTAGCCTAAAACTGTCAAGTTTCGATTTAGTCCTCATATAACAGTATCTCCAGATATTCGGTATCTTGATGATTTGTGTCGCACTTTTCACCGGAATTGTTTCAAAGTTCGTATTTGAAATTCGTAATGGGTACTACAACCTATGACAAAAAATTTCGTGTATAGGTCCGCGTCTTCGTAAAACCCCCATATATCGTTATATCCCCAATATTCTATATTTTGATGGTTTTAGCTACATTTTTCACCGGAATGCTTTAAAATTTCGTATTTGAAGTTCGTAATGGTTACTAATACGCCTTCTTATAGCCCACATATAACGGTAACTACCTTGCGTGTACAGGTCCGCCTCTTCGTATAACCCCCATATATCGTTATATCCCCTTTATTCTATATTTTGATGGTTTTACCTACATTTTTCACCGAAATCCTTTAAAATTTCGTATTTGAAGTTCGTAATGGTTACTAATACGTCTTTGTATAGCCCACATATAACGGTAACTACCTGTATTCGGTATTTTGATGATATTAGCGACATTATTATCGTAATTGTTTCAAATTACGTATTTGAAGTTCGGAATCGGTAGTACAGTCTATGACAAAAAAAATCGAAACTGCAGTTTTCGTCCTCGTATAGCGGTAACGGGTTTCATTTAAGCGGTATTTTTCGAAGTTTTTTTATTTTTTAAAGTTCCTTTCAAATTACGGAAGATATTAAAGGTTCGGCCCGGCCGAACTAAGCTGTTTTTTATATTTTTTTCTTCTAGATTCGTACGCAAATTTGACTTTGTAAGCAAGAAGCGCACCTTTCTTTAGAAAAAAAAAAAAAAACAAATCGTTCTTTCAACATCCCTCAACATTAGATATTTTATTATTCGTGTTTTAATTTTTCTTGAACATTTGTAATTTTGCATTTGAAAATGTCATAACTTATGTTTCCATAAATTCTCCCATTTGTTATGAAATTTGAATTAGAAACAGTAGAATTTGGGAGAAGACGGAAGATGATCCTTAAAGTACAGAATATTGGGAAACTTATTAAAAAAAATTGAAATATCCCTATATTTAAAAACATCTTCATAGTGGATTTTCCATTGTATTCAATTACGAATTTTTCGTGTAATAGTTTTTATTTTTACTTTTTGATTACTAACAAACATTTTTTCTTCATTTTAGGTAAGTTTACTATTGTGACATAGCTGTAAGTATATTTTTGAATTGTCTTTATTTCAAATATTGCAAATCAAGCCGGGCATTACAGAAAGAATTCACGTTAGATTCAACTATATTGAAAAAAATATATTGCAAATATATGTATTGTGCCGTATCTACATATAAATGTTTAAAAATATCAACTTACACCATCACTTACAATGTCAACTTACACCTTCGCTTAATAATACAAGTTGGAAAACGAAAAAAAATCAAATATCGTTATATAGAGTAATGGTTTCATATCAGGATTAGCAGGGAGGATACTTTACTTTTGCCAAATTACATTTTTTTTTTTTTTTTTTGAAATTTAATATTTAATATTTGTGTATATAGAGGGAGGCTATGCTGAATTGGAAAACATGATAAACTTTTGCGAAGAGAGTTTCTACTTAGCGAGAATCCAACGCATCAATGCAGTAAATTTAGTAGTGAACTGTGATTAAAAATAACAGAATACCAAAAATCAAGACACATCGTTTAAACGTGATCCGATACCAATATGCCTTACCATTCAAAGGTCTACATCAAACTGTGGGCTCTTTGATAAATTTAAGACACTTTGCCAACTTATTGTTGCAAGACGAAAAATTATTCACATTTTTTAAATAAAATAGCATCTAAATAAAATAATTAAGGGTATTCCAACTCGAACTAAGTTTTAAAATTTTATTTATTTATTATTAAAAAAAATGTGAAACTTAATAATATCCAGAATGAGGTTATGTAGGGGAAAAGGTATCGTGCAGATGGCCGTCGCTGGCACACACGCTATATATTTATGAAATTTCCAATGACCGTTTGGCATAAATGCTGCGGTATTCCATTAATGTGACGTCCAATTTTCTCTTTCAAGACTCGAAAAACCAGAGAAAAAAATTTCAACGTGTTAAATCGCACGATCAAGGCGTGAGGATGCATTTGCTTCTCGTGAATCACTCCAGGATTTTCCCAACCTCAAATGCGACCTTTTTCACCATGGAATTCAGTGGTTTCAATTTTTTTCGAATTCGAAAGAAAAACAAGTTTCCGACTCTGATATCGAATTTGGAACGAACCCGCAATAAACTGTGTGAGATTGCCCAAGATTCTGAAAGTTTCTTCGGAAAAAAAATCTGAAAGAATGTAAGAGTTTCGGGGCGAATTCGTATAGGATTCGCAAAGAAAAGAGGAAACTTCGGAGAATTATAGGATGTTTGATATGAAATTCGCAAAATTTTCGGATGTTTGATACAAAATCCGAAAAAAGAATTCTGAATTTATTCTACAGTTTCATCCAAAAATCGGCAAAAATTCGAATAATTAATTCATTCGAAAATTATAGGATGTTTGATACGAAATTTATTGTCGTACACACTATCATATGTGTTGGCCAACATATCAATAAGTTCTCACATGTGGGTTTTATGGCGACTGGAAAATAGGTAAATTTAGAATATTGATTTTAAATGATGTTTAAACTTATACCGCTCCCTCAAGCGCAACAATAGTATTTTGTGCAATGCATCCATATTACATCATTGACTTCTTCGTAAAAAATAAGCTTAATTTTTTTCGATTTTTTCCGTGGTATATTTTTTATCCGGATTTTGCGTATATTTCTCTGAGAGACCCTTAAAACAAGTGGTACTAGTGGAACCCAGAATTCTTGTAAAACTTCCAAAAAGACAATTATAGTTAGAACTCAAACTCTTCCAAAATTGTATCATGTGTGTGAATTAATATCGTTCCTGAATTCAGAGATATAATTTTTTGAAACCGTACAACCCTATTCTGTAAATTTCATTGAAACCTGTTTTTGAGAGGAAAAAATCTCTAAAACAATCGGAGAGTTTTTACTAATCTCGAAGTTTTCATAAAATCTCGATATTTTTCAAATATAACCCACGGTGCGATAAGGTGCTCATTGTTTGCATGCGTTTCATCCACACATTGACCTCCCTCCCCCCTAAACAAATAAAACAAACCATGCCACTTAAACACATTTGCTATATTTTCCCTCACGATTCATCGTTTCTCGTCGAAAAACGAAATGTGTTGTCTATCGCTTCGTTCGTTTTGTCTCTCTTCTATCTCACGTGTATACACCACCAGTGTATACGGAACCAAATCGGTTTGCTTGCCAGTTTTTGCAGCTTGCTATTATCTCATATGGCAATTCTGGTCGCCTAGTACATTGGCGGTTACACGTTGTCGTCAGGTTGATGGCGCAACCAAGAAACGAAATGAGAATGACTGTTGCTTGTGCTGAAACGTGGAAGCACCGCAACCAACGTTACACACAAGTCAGCTGGTTGGTTGGTTGGTTGGTTCGACAACGTGTGATGACGGCGGCAAACAATAATAAAAATTGTGGCGGTCGGTCGATGATGGCGTGCGTTCTCGATGTAAACAAACTAATAACGGCGGGCCCAACAAATGAATGATGCGGCGCCCAAAAGAAAAAGCGAGCAAACCCGAAGTAAAAATAATGATATCTGAATAGAAGAACACGACGAACAATGTTGATGAGTAGTGGCGGCGACGGCGACCCTCAACTCATGCATATCGCACATGTTGGGTGAGCGAAAGAGCACACCCATTACGGCAAATATAGTCTCGTGCTCTCTCTCGCTTTCTGTCTTTCTTATTGACATTTCAAGAGTAAACGAGTGTGTGTTGTTGTTTGCTTGCCTGTATGCATGCCTCTGTGTTGGTTGGTTGCTTGTGTTATTGACCGAGTGCGCCTCTTTTGTTTTGCGTTGCTGATAAGTTTCGTTCGTTGATTCGTGCCTGCTTTGTTTTGTTGGGGGCTATTTTTCTGCGGAGATAACACCTACTATTAATGCTGTTTGCCTAATTTTTCCCTCGAATATCGAATCTCGATTTCGATGAGATTTTAACGACGACGAGCCAGACAGATGCCGCCGTCAAAGCTATTTGTTTTGCACCATCAACATATTTTGTTGCCACCACCACCATCATCATCCTCCTCCTCCTTGGCGAGCGCATTTCTGTGTAGTATTATTATCGTACATTATTTATTTAATTTGTTTACGTTTATTTTTATTTACTTGTCTTGTTGTCACGAATCAACGGAAGGGGGTGTTTTCTTAATTCCCCACACGATACGATTAATAAGCAAGAAATCAACCAAGAAGCAGGGGCAGCAGGCAATGAACAAACGAATGATGCGCAACCAACCAACCAGCCAGCCAAACAACAGTTTTTGTTTGTCATGGCCGTTAATTGTAGCTGTGGTCGCCGCCGTCTCTGAATGGATGATGGCTCTCTTCCAAACCAACCAGCCAACGCCGTCATAGTTTTATTATGGCCTTACATTTTTGCATTGTTTTGCAAAAATGCCGACGTAGTATCAAGTTATTTTTCTCCACTACTGAACAGACACTGTCTGGCCGGCCGGTCGATTCGCTATTTTTCCTGTCGCTGACGCTGTCGTCGTCATCATCATCACCAACACCACCACCATGACTCGACTCGATTAACAACAACCCGAGTTGAGTTGGTTAGTCTATAAATTTTAATTTGTTTTGTATAGCTGCCGCCGCCGACAAGTTGGCTGACTTCTGGTATGCATGCCAACGCACGACTGACTGACTGATTCAGAAAATATTTTTCAAAAGTTAAGGTCTTTTTCGCTAAATTGGCTGGCTGGCTGGCTGACTGAGTGATCCCGATCGGTGGGTTGGTTGGTTGGTTGTTGCTTGACTGAACATGTGTCTGGCGCGCTCGCACAAACACAAAACCATTTCATTCGTTTCAACTTCGTCGCGTACATCGGCACACATTTTTCGTATGCATTTCGTGTTGAGGTTGTTTGGCGCAATAAAAATCAACGCCATAAATTTTAAATGCTCTGCAAAAATTAAGTGACTGACTTTTGTGTGAATAGCGAGATGGACGGCTGGCTGGTATGTGTCTGCTGGTTCTGCTTCTGTTTGTGTGATTCTCGTTTATTGTCGCTCGTTAGTACGTTTTGGCTACAGAGGTTGGTGTGATAATTATTGGGAATTAGAATTTTCAAATCGCACAACGATTTTGCGAAAACCTGCCGTTATTTGAGGGACAGACAATTATACCATCAGACATACGGTTCAAAGGGAATGTAACATAGACTTTATAACATAGGTCTCTTTGGACGAAATCAAGAAATTTGGAATCAAGGTATTTAGTCCGTAGATGGTCCATTCTAAACCGCTGTCGATTGGTAAAAACCTGGGGTCTGGCGATGACATGCATGGCAAAGGTAAAGCTCTCTTGTAACTTATTTAACCAAAGATATCCTCAGTAAACATCGTAAACAAGGACCTTATAATAGGTAACGACAGGCTTTGAACGGGCATCAGTCAGTGGAATTCAGCAGGGTTTTTTCAGCAATTAGGATGGACCCAGCAAGAATGAGTTGAAATGAGTCGAAAGTCATTCAGCGGCAAGTTTGGTCGCCACTTTCAGCGAGTACTATTCAATTATGGCCGGCCAACGATACTACCAATTTGAGCACGCAGAAGAGTTTTACTATTACATTAAGAAAATACTGAACAAATGGTAATATCATTTCCCATACTGGGATCACTGTGTTGCGTCTCTCAAAAAGCTCAAGTTTAGGCCAAAGTGGAGCGTTAAGAAGATACTCCTTCGCAGTACCATGAAATTCCCATAAATACAACATTTTTTGATATAGACCTCATTTCTTGTAGAATTATAGGTTGTTTTTCATGGGATATGACAGTCTAAAGTGACGTAGGTTAGCTCCAGAACAACACTTCCAAGTCGTGGATATTTATTTTCTAAATAGTGTTTTATTAAAAGTGTTTTTGAAGCACACATTGTGAATTTTATGGTGCTCATAATCGTCCGTCCGAGACTAAAATAAAGAACATAATTATGAAATTTCGGTCTATATTCACTCTTTTTGTATGCCAAGCCACCGAAAAGAAAGAGAAAATATTGCTGCCATTTAATCAGACAAGGATCATCTTTTTTTGCCGTATTTAGAGCAAATTCGCTCTCCTTTCAAGAATTCCCAATGCATCCGGATAAATGTACTGTTTGGGGCGGTCTATAGGGCGGTTGAATCATCGGTCCTTATTTCTTTAAAACTTAGGAAGGATGACACGTTACCGTTAATCAATGAATTTTTGTTGCCAAATCTTCAATGTAAACGAAATGTGATTTCAACAGGATGGTGTCATTTGCCATACTGCCGGCGATACTATGGACTTATTGAAAGAAAATGTCAACGACATTACTTCGAGAAATTAATCGGTTAATTGGCCTCCATGTTCGTGTGATTTGACGCCACTAGATTATTTTTTGTGTGGGGATACGTGAAGTCATTGGTTTACGCTTTCGAAATAAATATCCAACGTGTCATTGCTGAAATGCGTCCTCAATCGCTTGAAAAATTGTACCCTCAGAATGAACTTTGTGGAAAATAGTCGTGGTGGCCATATACCCAAAATTATATTTATATGTTAAATGGCAAGAAAATATCTATCACTCCATTATTTGTCATGTGTTTTGCTTAAATTTCAAATTAGCAAACTCTTAGAATAACACCCTTTAGAAGGCATTTAAGCTCGGGTTCCATTAGTCAACTAGAGTCTGTCTGGTATTAATGTTGCAGACATGGCAGTTCCCGTTATACTACTTTATTCCATTTTCTACTGGATGTGTAAAATAAGAATTAAGTCCAATCTCCCTCTTCGATTGTCAACTATATTTTTTATTCGGCGATGAGAAACGAAAACTAACTATGCTATTTCAAATTTTTTTTCGGCTCGAAGGCCCAATGTACGAGAGAATAGAGTCCAATCTGCCTCTTCGATTGTCAACTCTATTCTTTATTCGGTTATGAGAAAAGAAAACCGACCGGATGGTTTTGGCTATTGATTCAATTCTGGGTTATATTAAAAAAATATGTTTCTTAAGAGCTACAAAAACTATTCTCACTTAACCTAATCGCAGCCACACAATTATTCTTATCTATTCTAATATTGAATGGAGAACATTCAAGTGGTCTTGTGCATCTACTGAGCGCATCGATATCTGTGCGTGTGGGTCATAACCTTTATTATCTCACATATTATTGTATGCGAATTGTTCACATGTGATCGTTCTGCAGTCGGAATGAAGTATTTATTTCGAAGTTATTGCTATTAAGCATATGTGAATGAAACACCAAATCTCAACCAGGCTCCGCATTTTTTATTTTTGGGTTTTACCTTGTTTAGGCGCAATGCCCTTTTCATTTTGGTCATGGTGTTTTCATATTAAATTTTCTATCTAGAAATACCCTCAGATGTTTGCCCTTCCAAAAGATAAAAAAACTGGTTCAAAAATGTAGACAACTTTTTTTACCTAGGTTAAAATTTAGACCTCTGGGCTCAAATCCCTCATATTTTAAGATACCACCAATAAGTTTTCTGAATTGCAGATTTTATCAACATAAATATTCAAATCTAAATATGGTAAAAATATCCTCAAATATCTTCCTTTGAAATCCACTTTCTTTATTTTTTTTGAATTCTTTAATTTTCCCCAACTTTCTAGACCATCCTCCATATCATTTCATTCATACAGCTGTTTACGGTCTGAAGAACAACATGTTGTGTAAAATCAACCACTAAGAGTCGTGTGAAAAACTCGTTCTCTCGTTTCGGTATGTAGCGCCTGTCACATTGTTCGTTCATTCGCCTACTCATCTGTGCTGAGAGCCTGAACTGTTGTCACCGTCGACGTTGCTAAATAGTTGGCGTTTTATTTGCCAGATTTCACAACGACAAGAACAACAAAATGGTGGTGGTAATAAACCGAAAGCGACCGAGATAGCAATCATTTAATGTGTTGTTGTGTCCCGCACACGGTGGTTGTTGGTGTTGCTAATCCTTTTCTGTTTCGTTTTACCTCCTCCAGTGTAAGTAAACAAATAACAACAATAGAGGAGAAACGAACCAGCAATGAGACAGACAGACGGACGATGGAATGTATCGAGACGGGTATTTTGTCGCATAGAGTTGCATGTGGCAGCAACAGTCAAGTCACAGTCTTCGGTGTCGCCATCACATCATTGACCGTAACGACGGCGTAAAGGTTAGTTGTGCTGTGAATCCACCACCACCACCGCCATCGTCATCATATTGTAACAGGTTCTTCCCCACCTTGAATCCAACAAATAGAACATCCAAAATGCTTTATTTTTTTCCTGGCAACAACACAATGACCGAAGAAAATCGTAGTCCATTAACATCTCGTCAACATCTTTGTTCGTTCGGTGGTATTTATTCCCATTCAGCAGTGCAAAATGTGCTGCGCAGAAATTCAACGAATTTTCATGCGAGCACACACTAGTAACGAGTTAATCGCAGGCCACAGCAACAACATATCCTCCCCCTCCTCTAAAACTTTTTGCAAAATTGAACTGACATTAATGCCTTGTCGCCGACAAAAATACCGTGTAGCTCCCCCCACTCTCTCACAACAAAAATAAATTTGTCTGTCCAAGTAACAGAAATCATTTTATTTGCTGCAAATTCGTTAGATATCAAGCGAATGAAAGCAACAAACAAATCGAACCACAATCGCCGTCATACAAAACACCAGTCGCCTTCAAACGCCTTTTTTCGATAATCCATAAACCCACCTCCATCCTCATTCATCCATACCAATCACGCCATGCCAACCACTTTGTTCGATCCTTCGCTCGCCTCAAGCTCAGTTACTATATTTTGCCGGCAACCAACCCAGCACTCAGAGTCAGTCATTCAGCCAACAAACAGCAACGAACTCTGCTGACTCGTTTGGATGAAAAATCTTGCCCCAAGTCAAGTACACAATTCACTGCCGTTTATTCACAACACGCTCTCGACTATGGTGTCTTTTCGGTACTTGAAGCGTGTGAATAAATTTTTTGCTTCCAACCAACCAAACGACCAACAGCCATCACGCCAATACTTCACCACAAAGCAAATTTGTGTTGTGCTTGCCGGTTTTCATTATAATCCGCAAAAATTCTCATATTATGACGCGTGTTTGTGCATGCCTTTGCCGGTTTTTACCCACACAGCCAACACCACAACCACCACCGCCGCCGCCCCTTCATTGTGAACAGACAAGTCGAGCAGTCTGTCGGCCAGCCAGCCTGCCAACCAACCATCCATTCAGCCGGTCACCAGCACAACATGCCGTGCCGTTGCTAAATGAATCAGTGATAAAAGCAAAACACATGATTAGCCTACTAAGAAAATCAAACAGCCAACAAGCGAATTATAAAGTGTTTGCTGCCCTGAGTCGTACTGCGACGCATCGGCTGCGGCGTCGTCGTCGTCATCATCGTAACAGTCACACAGCCCAGTGCCAACCTCAACAATTTAACGAAAGCCCAGAAAACTCATTCATGGCAATGTAAACAATGTCATGTTGCTACAACTACTACAACGGCGACGGCTACTACTATTCAGTGAGATTTCTCTTTCTCTCACTTTTATTCTCAATGAATTAAAGTGCTCTTGCTCTCTGTCTCTTACCCACACACACAGCTTGCCTTTGGGGATGTGTTGGCTTTCGTGGTCTCTGTTGCTCTGTTTATTTTGGTAAAAGCTTATTGTTGTTGTTGTCGTTGTTGTATCGTCGTCGTGTGGTGCTCTGTACAACAAGTTCCTTACACTCACTCTCGAGGTCGTCTGTCGTACCGTACGAGTGAGTAAGTAACATCGTTGATGGTGTGTTTGTTATTGTTGTTGTTTTGCCGTGCATGCATGCATTTGTTTCGTTTCTTCGCACATTGAAATCCCGCAAAATGTGACTTCTCATTCTTTTTTGTATACGGCGCTCAGAGTCGATTGGTTTCGGCTTTTTAAAAAATGTTTTGTTGTCTCACAACGTTCGTCAACTGTTCAGAGCAGCAAGGTTTTTGTTGTGTGTGTGTGTACGAATGTGTCTTCTTGTATATTTTTGTTTTTATATTTTTTATGACTCGTTGTTGTTGCTCGTTTTTATTCGTTTGTGTGTTGCTATCGCTTGCTATTTGTTTGATTTTGAATGAATTTCAAAAACAGCAAAAAAAGAGAAGGTCGTTGTTGTGTTGATACACTGAGGTATAACATTTTTTTCCGTCTGTTGCTCGCTATTGCCGACTCTGACGAACTGGTAGGTTATGTTGTTCGTTGGAAACGTGTTCAGTTTCATTGCTGCCAGAGTCAGTCAAGCCAGCCAGCCAGCCAGAGCAGCAAGTTGTTTGTTTGTTGTTATTGCGAATTATTTATCACATTGTACTTGCTTGTACACTTTAACAATTGGGTACTTAAAATAATTATTGTTTTCTGCTTTAAAAATAATTATTGTTTACAATGAGGTTAGGTTTTTTCTGAGGGGAAATTTGATTTTTGGCTAGTTTTTAAATGTGGGGAAAGGTTCATGTTATGATTCTCCGGATATGTATGAAATGTATGTTAAGATAATATGGAGCAGAAGCAAATCGATCAGTAGAAATTTATGGTAGCACTATTTGAAGCGCAATATAAAGTAATTAAGTGGAGCTTAAAATTTAAACGTTTTCAGCGATTGGTTAAATTGGTTAAACTAAATAATTATTTAAAAAGTTTCGCACTATTCTCGAAGAAATGAAAAAAATATGACGTCATAAAAAAAACTTATTTTCGAATGGAAAAAAATACTCACAAATTAGATCCATACTAGATTATTCTAATACAATGATTCCGAATGCTCGATTAAAATAAAATAAAAAATTTAGTTAACAATAACGAGTATCAGTCGGAAAAATATTGAAACATGCGGATCAACTAAAAAACGTCTCCAGTGAGAGATACTCAGATAGTAACATTGGCTACAAGATATCCCTTCAAGTCTTCCAGAGCCATTGGAAGTAAAATGGGGAATGTTAAATCATCCCGAACAGTTCGACGAAGACCATTGACTGCAAATCTACCGGGTAGAAAAGCTCGGGAGGTTCCTTTGCTTAGAGAAATCAATTGGAAGATACGAATAACTTTGCTGTGGCTCATAAAACCTGGTGCGGACCTGAAGGAAAAAACATAGTGGCGAAATACATATGGAGTGATTAAACGAAGATCAATTTCTTTGGCAACGGCGCAGAAAGGAATGTCCGCCGACCGAGAGGAAAGGAATTTCATGTTAGAGGAGGACAGAATCTCATGGTGTGGGCTTGTTTTTTTATGGGAAGATGTAGGTCCGATATATGTAATTGAGAACACGATAGTTCGATTTGTGTACAAGGAGGTATTGGGAACTGTCATGCTGCCATATGCGGAGGAAGATATGCCAGTAATATGAACATTTCCGCAGGATAATGACCCACAGCAATCATCGAAGTTGGTGAACGCATGGCTCGGCATGAAAATTGTTGATTGGCCTAGCTAGTCTATCGATCTTTAACCTAGTGATAACCTTTGGGAAGAACTGAAGAGACAAATTTCGAAACTTTCTTGCAATAATAAAAAAAGAACTATGGGAAATATTATATAATATCCCGCTAAAAGAGTCGAAGCTGGCTTAAAAATATAGGTGGCTATACAGTATTATTCGATAGTTATTCAAAAGGTTTTCTCATGGTAGACCAGAAGGTCTTCTCATGGAAGACTAGTAGGTTCCCTCATAGAAGACTTCTTATAGAAGACCAAAAACCTAAGATCAGAAGGTCTTCCCACAGAGAAGATTAGAAGGTCTTCTGATATAGAAGACCAGAATGTTTTCTCATATAGAAGACCATAAGGTCTTCTTTGGGTCTTTTATATTAGAAGGTCTTCTCATAGGAGACCAAAAGGTCTTCTTATAGGATGCCAGAAGGTCTTCTAATAGGAGACCAGAAAGTATTCTCAAAGGAGACCAGAAGGTCTTCTCATAGTAGACCAGAAGGTCTTCTCATAGGAGACCAGAAGGTATTCTCATAGAAGACCAGAAGGTCTTCTCATAGGAGACCAGAAAAGTCTTCTCATACAAGACCAAAAGTCCTCATATAGAATAGCAGAATCTCTTTCCATATAGAAGGCCAGAAGGTCTTTTTCGGGTCTCAAAATAAGAAGGTCTTCTCATAGGAGCCCAGAAGATCTTCTCGTAGTAGACCAGAAGGTCTTCTCATAGGAGACCCGAAGGTCTTCTCATAGTAGTCCAGAAGGTCTTCTTATAGGAGGCCAGAAGGTTATTTTATAGAAGACCAAAAACCAAACACCCGAAGGTCTTCTCACATCGAAGACCAGAATGTCTTCCCATATAGAAGATGGTCTTCTTCTGGTCTTTTATATGAGAAGGTCTTCTCACAGAAGACCAGAATATCATCCCATAGGAGACGAGAATGTTTTCTACGGGAATGTCTTAACATAGAAGACTAGAAGGTTTTTTCATTGAAGACCAGAAGAAGGTCTTCTTACAGAGGACCAAAACCAAAGACCAAAAGGTCTTCTCATATAGAAGAGCAGAATTTCTTCTCATATAGAAGACCAGAATGTCTTCCCATATAGAAGGCCAGAAGGGCTTCTTCGAGTCTTTTATGTAAGAAGGTCTTCTCATAGGAGACCAGAAGCTCTTCTTATAGTAGAGCAGAAGGCAGTACAGAAGACGAGAAGGTTTTCTTATAGAAGATCAGAAGGTATTCTTATAGAAGACGAGAAGGTCGTCTCATAGAAGACCAGAATGTCGTCTCCTCGAAGACCAAAAGGTCTTTTCATTGAAGACCAAGGGGTCTTCTCATCGAACAACCAAGGGTCTTTTCATCGAACAACCAAGGGTCTTCTCATCGAACACTAAAGGGTCTTCTAATGGATCTTCTCTTTTTCTCGATTCACAGAAGTTCTGTATAATTTGTTTATATCGCCCGATTTCAATCCCTCTCAACACATTTATAGGCATTTCTATATTTAATTAAGGCAAGTTTTATTACAACTTAGTACTAATAACAAATAAATAATAATAAATAGAAAATTAAACTAATTTTGTTTTTGTTGTTGTTTGTGTGAAACCAGTTCACATTTAACAGCAATGCGAATACTCTTCGTGACACATCTTCGTTCCTAGTCTAAATTCTAAAATTGGCGATCTCCCCGCAAACGACGTCTCCAATAGGAATTTCTTCTTTCGGCCATTAAATTCTGATAGTTAGCTCTCTCTTCGATGTTATTACTCTCTAGTGAATTATTTGCAGGATCTTCTGTGGGCAAATTGACATTTAAATCCTCATCCTCCGCTGGAGTTTCATTATCCGCTTGATTTTCTGATTCTTCGTGATGTTCTTGTTCTTCCTCTTGTTCTTCTTCATTGTGTTCACTTTCATTGTTGTTATTTGATGATACCTCATTGACTGCTTCCTGTCCTCCTCCCACATCATTTTCAATGAAAACACATTCACTATTGACCGCGGCACATTCCTCGAAGGAGTTGGCCTTGCCCATTTCATTGTGATCGTTGGTGTATTTGGCAAAGAAACTGCGTCCAATCACCCGGAAAGCCATGGCTGTTAGGGGATTGTTTTTGGAACGGAATTCCATTTCACAGACGAAACGGCGACGACAGGCCGCCGAATCCAAGCCGAGGAACATGAACATGAAGTTGCCGATTCTGGGAGGAAAATTAAATTGGCGTTATGTGATTGTTGGATCTTCGGTCTGGGGATTTTTTTGTGACTTACCTTTCCTCGCTGATTGATGGACCCATTTGTTTACCCTCCTGTTTCTCATTTTTTATCTCACGTTTAATGCGATAAGTGTGGCTATCGGGTGAAGAAACATCAGGAGGGGCAACATCTGAACTGGCATAGGATCCGGCATAGGCAGAGTAGGGTTCAAACGAAGTATCTGGACTGCTGGGTCCCCATGATGAGCTAATGATTTCCGAATGATCCGAGGAATATGGAATGTGGTCATGGTGATGGTGAGAGAACGATCTAGGGGTTTGAGAGAGAGAGTGATTAATAAGTTTACCAGGAATAAAAACATTGGGGGCTATGGCAAACTTACGGTGGTGGATGATCCAAAATAATTTCAGGTTGACATTTATGGGGCCAGAAGTAGCGGAGGCCCAAGTAGACGGCACTGCCCAAAAAGAAGGCCACAATTACAACTTTGATCTTGATCAAATAAGCAATGGCTATGGCAGTCCAGCCCCACTGAGCATCTGAAATTGAAGAAAAGGTGTTCAAAAGATTAGCCATGAAATTTGTCATCCCCCCTCTCTCAGATAATCAAAAGTGAAAGTGTTAATTACTAATATGGGAGAGAGAAATAGGGGGAGAGGCGTATTTTCGTAACACATATTACGCACTCGCTCCCCCTCCCCGGTCTTTGGAAAATCGTGATCACAACATTTGCAACTTAACTTTTTGTCAATAACCACATCAACTTTCGTTTAACTTTCACACTTCTCTATTTGCTTAGATGATTGCTGGATTTTATTTTCCACTTCGGGGTGTTCACTAGATAAAGAGAGGGGGCGGGGTGCTAATTTATTTTACATAATTAGACTATGATTTAATATTTATTTGGATTATAAAAAAGCTCTGTCTGCCATGTTGTATGACATAAGAAGGTGCTAATTATTATGTGGAAAATAACAGCCGGTATTATGTCAGATTACGGAAATCATATCACGATTTTTCGATCATCTTCTTCTCTCTTCACAAAGAGAAAAGAAAATGGGTTACCATAATGGTATATAATTTGTAAAATTCCACCAAGACTCCTGCTTTGTCTTTAGAAATATTTTACTAAGAACCAGTAAAGAGAGTCGGGCGGTGCCGACTTTATGATACCCTACCCCACTTTGCTAATTTAGTAAAGCTCCACATAGCAATTAAAAGTTTTTATGGGAGAATTCAATCATACACGCTATGATTATAATTATAATTATAATTTAAAGTTCAAAGGACAAAATATGCCGAAGCATTTGTATCTTTTAAATTCGGACGGAAATACTACAAAGATATATCTGGGAGCTATATCCAAATCTGAACCGATCTCGATAAAATTTGGCAAAGATATTTTTGAGCTGTATTTGATATATTTCCCTGAATATCGTTGTTACGGAGTGCATATTACGGCTGTGGCTAAAAAATATACAAATCGGATGAACAGTATATATGGGAGCTATAGCTATATCTGAACCGATCTTCACGAAATTTGATATACTAGCTTCTAGACTCAATTCGGTCGTAAGTGCCAAATGCCATCCCATTTGGAAAAATATTAGACATTTGGTGCACAATAAAAGGTAAATCGGACGAAGTTATATATGGGAGCTATATCCAAATCTGAACCGATCTCGATAAAATTTGGCAAAGATATTTCTTAGCTGTATTTGATATATTTCCCTGAATATCGTTGTTACGGAGTGCATATTACGGCTGTGGCTAACAAATATAACAAATCGGATGAACAGTATATATGGGAGCTATAGCTATATCTGAACCGATCATACTAGCTTCAATTCGGTCGTAAGTGCCAAATGTCATCCCATTTGGACAAATATTAAACGTTATGTGAACAATAAAAGGTGAATCGGACGAAGTTGTATATGGGAGCTATATCCAAATCTGAACCGATCTCGATAAAATTTAGCAAATGTATTTCTGAGCTGTATTTGCTATATTTCCCCAAATATTGACTTTACGAAGATGTGGTCCTGCTTGCGAAATTTTTTGCCATGGGCTGTAGTACATATTATGAGCTTCAAATGCCAAATTAGAATCAATTCCGGTGCATAATGTCGCACAAATCATAAAAATACCGAGTATCGGAAGGTACTGTCATATGATGGGGGCTATACGAAGGCGTGGATCTGCATACGAAATTTTATCCATAGGCTGTAGTAACCAATAAGATATCCCAATACGAAATTTGAAACGATTCCGGTGAATAATGTCGCTAAAATCAGGAAAATACCGAATATCGGAAGGTACCGTTATGTGGGGGCTATACGAAAACGTGGACCCGACATAGCCCATT